CATGATTCATGGCCAACTGGTGAATCATCCATGCCCCTTGATGTGGATTAGATAGCTTCTTCAATCATGAACCTGTAACTACAGTGTGATTCTGTTGTAGCTCTATTGGCTATCTAGCACCTCTATCACTTGAATTGATCTAGATACCCATTGAGGGCATACTTCATAGGCTGTGTACTACTCAACATAGGGTTGTGTCTTCTACAAGATGCATGTGTCAACCCCGATATTGACTACGCATAGGGAAAACAGAAGCAGATACGAATTCCGAACGGCGTGTTCAATGACACTATTCCCTCCTTCTATCTAATTTCTGAATACAAAATATCATGCCTTACTCTACAGCCCACTAACTCCCTATGGAATCTACTCCCATACCCCCCTGACTCTTCACAAGATAGAATAGGGGCATACTCTCACACTTCCCGTTCCCAGCTAACCACAACCACCAACCACTTATTGAGATCTCCTCAATAACTGAGCATCTACTATACCAACGGCTCAACGGTCTAAATAAACCGACAAACAATAGTCTCAATAGTCGATCAACCCAATATTCAATAGTCAACCTAGCCTTGTGGAGAATGGCCCGAAAACGGTCGCATGCCGGATAAACTTTGTTTAAATGAAGTGCGCTAGTAGTGGGTTCCCCCCGGACTGATATTTGGGAACGTAGACTATCTAGTATCTACTAATTTACTTGCCAAGCAAACTTTGCTGTTCGTTCCGCGGAATTGGGATTGCGTGGTCTGAACTATGAAGGAAAATAAACTAAAGTATGATGGTACAGGGGTAGTTGGACTATTGACGGAGATGTTGCTGAGACAGGCATAGGATGCAAACTCTCTTTTTTGTTTATTGTTTATAGTGACATTACCACGTGTGAATAGATCGCTAAATATTGAGTTGCGGAATCCTCCAATCCTTCGCTCTTTAGTGGGGCTTTGGTATGTGGTTTATGTAGGTGAAGCTGTGTGGTGCCCTGAACGGTAGGACATGAGAACTACCTTGAAGATGTAGAGCTACCTACCTTGTCGCTCGAGGCGGTCCGGCGCATCGCGATGATCTTCTCGCGGAGCAGCTTCTCGCGTAGTTCGGAGCTGGAGATGCGTGCACGAGCTGCGTTATTAGGGGGAGCAGCAGTCTGCGATTAGTGGTTAGTTGAGGTCTTTACAGTGAGAGGGGCAGAGCAGAGTTGTGGGCAATGAACGAACTTAGGAAATCATAGATTTTTTGTGAAGAGGACCCTTAGAAATCATTCACCCACCTCAGTGGCATCCTTCATCTCGTGGTCGCTCGAGCTTGGCTTCTCAGCCGGCGGTGGTGATCGTTTGGCGGCATCCTCGTCTTCATCAGCCATCCTCTTTCGCTTATCACTGGGGACGGATACGGAGGACGTGTTGCGCCGTCTCCGTGCAACTGGGGCATATCTCTCAATGGACCGACGCCGCTTCCTATCCCTCACGCGGCTGTGGCTACGGCTGCGACTCCGACTCCGACTGCGGGAATCCTGGCTGGCGCTGCGGGAACGGCCTCGACTGCGGCTGCGGCTGACACTCTGGGATGAGTACCGGCGTCTGCGGGTGTCATTGTGCTCTCTGCTGCGACTCAAGCGACGGTCGTCACGGGACTTGCGGGCCTTTGCAATATCAGCGGTGGATTCTTTCTTATCATCTCGTGAAGAGTAAGGCGATGATCCTCTGCGTCTGGTGCCGCTACCATCCGACCCTTGCGACCTCGAACGGGACCTTGATGCCGAAGAACCTCTTCTCCTGCGTCGGTCTCTGTGGACAGGTGAACGCGATGCACTGCGGGAAGAAACGGATCTCCGTCTCCGTCGGTCTCTTCTGGGACTACGTGAGCGTGATGATTCACTGCGGGTATTGGATCTTGCACGATCACCGTAATCAGGGCTGCGTCTCCTGGGCCTCCTGCGATCACCGCGGTCCGGGGAGACAGAGCCGCTAATTGACCGACGTCGTCGGTTCCGGTCGTTGCCAGGATGGCGCCGACGTGGTGGAGGTGAGCGCGAGGAAGACACGGAGCGAGAGCGAGAGCGGCTGGGCGAACGGGATGGCCGACGGCCTCGACGAGAGCCTGAGGGCACGTAGGAGTCGAACTCTCGTCTGCCAGGCGGACCTCGGAAACGGTCACGGCTGCGCTGTCGCGGAGGCGACCGACGTCTATCAAAGTCTCGACCACCGCGGCCACCGCCTCTTCTTCCTCCCCTTGTGCGCTCAGATCGTTCTCTACGTCGAAGGTCTTCAAGTTCTCGCTCTCGCGCGCGCTCCTGTTCCTTCTGTTTGCGGGCTTCCTCGGCGGCTCTTTCCGCTTCGATCTAGTCATAACGAGGGCGTCAGCGCGAGACCAGCAACTCGGACATCCGTAAAATATCCCACCTTCTCTTGAATAAGCTCCAGTTTCTTCGCCTCCAGCAACTCCTTGGGCACACCCTGGGGGTTTTCCTGGGCACTCAAACATAGCGACCACAGCTCCTTGCAAAACTTGCCAGTATCTTTATCGAGGAATCCGGTGAGCTGAATCTGTAGGGACTTGATATCGGGCTAAGATAATGGCAAAGTGAACTCAGTTAGCTTGGATGGCTGAACCGCGAGTAAAACATAGCAAATCAGCATGGAAGGCAAAAGGTAAAAGGTCGTACATACAAACCGCGACCCTTCTAAAAGGTTAAAGCAGAGCTCAATAACGACGTCATCTTCATTTCCCAGGATCTCGGAGATCTTTCCAGCAATCCATCTGCAATGATTTAAGTGTGTTAGTTCCAGACCCGAGTGATAACAGCACCTCGCGATAAGAGACTTAGCTGGGGCTTTTGCAACGCACTTCTTCATCACCTCGATGTTGACCTTGGTCATGTCCACCTTCCGGCTGAATTCCGGAGGGAATTTGGTCTGCTTCAGCAGCTTGGCATCCACGCTTGTCGCCATGGTTCCTAGTCCTAGTTCGAGAGAACCAACAGCTAATGAGGAGTCGACAATAGGTGCAGCGACCGGCGCGTGAACAGCTGCGGTGGTGAGCCAGCAACGAGACTGCGGGTTGGGTGTTTGTCGATGCCCGAAGGCCGGAGTCGCAGTCGGACCGAGGATAGCTTCAATCTTGCCTTTTTGGGAAGTTGATACTACCACCACCACTATTACTACTACTACTCGATCAACTGCTCGGGCTCAAGGTCTGAATATATCCGCGTAAAACGCTTCTGTTATGGGACTATCAACTATGTAGACACAAAGTGCATCCTTGTATGGTAGAGGCCGTTTATATCAAGATCCCATTACAGCATAGCCTTCTTACAAGTAACTATGCTACTATAGCTGACTTTATCCCGGAAAAGGAATCTCTTATAATAGTAAAGAATGCAGAATGTGGTGTTTCGAACCTGTCACGATACAATGTCAAGACCTGACCCTTCCACGCATTGAATAGTATGCTAGATGTAAACACATAATTACGTTTGATGACCATAGGGTTTGCTCTCATATCGTGGTCGTATTGTCTCAAGCTAGTTATGCCATTCCAAAGGTCCAGAAGCAGCCTTCGGAAGACAGCCTCCCCTTCAGCTGAGCAAACCACTGGAGGGATCAAATGAAGGGTAACAAGACCAATTCAGCCAGTGGTGGAGGTACTATTACTATATTATCAGATAGCACGTTTCACGGAGTCCTATGATTAGACGACTGGGAGTAATAGGCTAACCTTACATTTGTTGATTTCTGTCAGGATGAGGGCCAGATAGTAGTAAGCCGCACTTTTGCTTGCAAGCATATGTGACCCATTTGTCCGCTTTAATTGACCAGTAAGTTTCTAGTAGCAGCTCAGTAGAAGAAGAGTATGAACATACTTATGTTACAGGTACTATGGAAATGCACAGCCAAGGAAATGGGGAGGATTGTCTAGGAATATGGTGTATATATGTGAGACTGCAATGATAATTCATATTTCTAATTTACCATAGTCAGGTGTAAGCTGATGTGATATACAATTAACCAATAAATGGACAGAGTAAAGAGAAACATTGATAGTACAGAGTAGATATTATAGTTCAGTACACAATCTAGTTCTTCTCTGCTCCCTTTGCCTTTTCACCTGTCAACATTAGAGTCAAATCTCCTGGTGCCCGCGCCTCTTCCCCTTACCAAGCTCTTGAATTCTGATAAGGATAAATCGAAGAAGACCTGGGTAGTAGTATCAAGGGACTTCCGAGATGCTTGGAGTACACGCTACATAATGCAGTGTAACCCACACATTATCATACCCTATCTTCCCACACCTGTAAGCAAAGAATATACCTTTTCGGTCTGCTTGAGTGAGCAAACAAATTTTATTGTGTAGAGCTTCTTCTGCGCGATTGCCGTAGACAAGACTTCAAGTCAGGTTTATTGTCCGGGTCTTGGAGGAATGCTTATTGCTTTTCGGATGAAAGGGTAGGTGGGTAATAGTATCAAGCCGCGCCGAATAACTTATCCGAAAAGAAGTAAACATGACTACACTCTTGCGATGCTGCATTCAGAGAAGCCCAATGAGTGGACAAGAAAGACTTCTCATTCACTAGTTGCTCGCTGCTCCAACAAGCCGACTTCCTTCTAACTGGCTGCATCCCCTCAAGAGGGGTGTTCATCTTATTTGTGCGTCATATCATCCTGGAAAGGGCCAGTAAAAAGAACAGGGCGTAGCTATACTTTGATTCTGTGTCACTGTGACAACATGCATAGCTTGACTATTGTCGAATATCGCTCCGTTCCCCTCTTCAGACATCTGATACGGACTGATCCTTAGTACCTACAGATCACCTGAACTGCTCGTCCAAGGCTGCATGATGATCAGCAGTATCACGAGGCTCTTTCAGCAATGAGGAGATATAGGCACATCGGTGAAAGTTTAGGAATTAGAAATTTGAGGTCATGGGTCTCGCCATTTGGTCAGCTCGTGTATAAAAGCCGGTCTGGAATCTTCTCTCATTCAGTGCAACAGATACAAACTGACTTAGTCAACACAGTCAACTTAACCTTCTTGTTCTTTGAGTCTTAGTCTACTTGTCCTGGTATCTAATCTGCATATACTCCTATCATCCAAGATGAAGTATATCTTTACTACTCTGTTACTGGTCTCCGCGACCCTGGCCCTGCCGACTGTAAGTACTAACAGAATATGAACTTATTCTATATAGTAGTAGCTTTCTGTCTGCTACTCATGTATGGGATCAGACAACTCGCTAATACGGTGCTTGACAGGATTTCTCGAGTCAGGAGTCCACCACTGCCGCGACTCAACAGGAAGGTATAGATGTCAATCCCATTGGTCTGCTTGATGATACCCTTGTATGATATCCTATTTCTACGAATGATGACCGGTCAGCTAATCATAGATCTGTGAAAGGGCCTCGGTCGACGTGGAGATCTAACTAGTATCGAGTTGTCTGCCAAGCGTGGTAACCAGGTTGCTCGGCAGGACGATGATGGCTTCGATCCAACCTCAGATGGGTCATACAAGCGGGCTAGTCAGGATGCCCAGGAGACTACTGCAGGGAAAGGCCCATCTTTAATTAGCATTCTAGGGGTATGAGATCATTCACCAAGTATGATGATTAGCCTGCTGACAATATATTCGTAGGGGGACGATGGTGGGCTAGGAAGTATTCTAGGTGTATGAGATCCCTTGTCAATTGTGATTGATTAGCTTGCTGACGCTAAATCTGTGAAAGGGTCGGCCCAGCAAGCCAAACACTAGGCGTAACAACCAAGATGCCCAAGAGGCTACTGCTGAAGGCCGTAAGCCTGGCCATAAAGGCGTATGAGATCCCTCCCTAAGTATGATAATCAGCTTGCTGACGAACTGCGTGAAGGATGTTACATTCTAGAGATCTGACTGGTACTGAACTATCTGTTGGGCGTGAATATCAGGCCATTAGTAGATAATCTCCTGATGAACCAGTGACGCTGATCACCCGACGAAGAGAATGTGCGGCAAGATCAAACAGTCTAGATAGGTCATGAATAGTATACAGAATAAAGAAGGACATTAAATCCTCAATACTTTTTTTTTCTAGAAGCAAGTACCGTAGCCATCTTTAAGTGAATTTTTGCAGGCTAGAAACCAAGTCTCCCTTGATACCTCAGACGGAGATGGAAATCTACTCAAGTTGTGGCCCTACCCAATATTAAATCAATAAGGCTTCCTACCAAGGTGTAGCATTCTAGAAGTCATAGCACCTTCGGAATTTCAATCGTGCATATTTAGGTCCCCTTGTAACAAAACCATATAACACATCACTGATAACGCCAGCCCGAATAAAACAACCATATGCATAAGAGGAAAACAGAATTCAGGAACAGCCTAGAAACCAAGGTAGTACTTTTCCACAACTAGCTAAGTTCCCTTAGCACTCGGGCTACTTCCTCCCTTGCACGCGAGAGTTCCTCATCAACCGTGCCTAGCGCATGACGGGCCTTGAACTCGTAGTGCAAGTCGACGAGTTCTTTTGCGCGACGGAGATCCTCGTTTTCGCAGCTTCCTGAATCTAATCCAGAGTCTGATGGGGTTGTGCCTGTTGCTTTGAGGTTTAGTTGGTCTGTGGTTTGGGGGATTCGCTCATTGACGGTAACGAGAGCGAGGGCGTCATGGTAGTCCTGTCATTGATATCAGCTATTAGATATTAGACGAGAGGTAGTCTGGATATTGTACTGCAGACGAGTACGTATATTGATCCACCACATACAAGGAGACTGGGGAGGACATACACAGACGCGCAGGGATGTCAGATCGGAGAGGATCTCTGCTACTTGCATGGCGGTCTTGGTTCGGATCACTGGGAATCTGGTGGAATACTGCAACAATGCGATAGATGAAGTCGACAAGATGCTCTGCTCTTCAGGGTTGATTCAGATGATTATGTACAGACGCAGCGTAAAGAATGTAGCTAACATGCAGTGATAAAACACCCTTCAAGAACTGAGCGGGTGACGTAAGGAACAACGAGAATAACAAAACATTCTCAGCTCATCACAGTCTCTACTCCCAATTCGAGACAAATAACTGTCCACACATATTTTGTAATGTAAAATCCCATAAGACCATAAAGTAACTACCATTATCACAATCCCACTTACTTTCCCCACACAACCCTCTTATCATCCCCAATCATCCGGCTCAACCCTCCGAATCTCGGAGAATCCGAGCCTCTCCGCACGCAGCGCGCGGAGCACCTTTCCGTGCGTCGCATCGGCCGAGCTCCGACTGGCCGATTATATTATTATCCGCCAGGCCTCATGGCCTCTACATTCCATTCCCACCCCCTCAACTATTTTTCTTTCCCCTCCATCCTCGAGAATTGAACACTTCATAATGGCCTCCGCGATCAGGGCCAACTGCAGAAAGGTTATCTGCATTGGCAGAAACTATGCGTATGTTCAATCCTACCACATCTCCGCATGACGAGGTTCCGCTAACGCAGTCTGTCAACCGCAGCGACCACATCACAGAGCTGAACAACACCACGCCCAAGCAGCCCTTTTTCTTCTTGAAGCCCGCTTCCGCTATCCTCTGCCCCGGCGAAGGTCCTGTGCTGCGCCCTCAGGGAACCAACCTGCACTATGAGGTCGAATTGGCGTTGGTGATGGGCAAGACCGTTCGGGATCTGGACCCGAATGACGATAAGGGTGCCTTGGATGCGATCCACAGTCAGTCATGATCCTGTGCAGTTATTCTCTTTGCGGATGACAAGGAGTATCGATGAACTGACTGTGTGTAAAACTTTTGCGAATATAGGCTACCTCCTCGGTATTGACATGACCGCCCGCAACGTCCAAGAAGAAGCAAAGAAAAAGGGCCTCCCGTGGACGATCGCCAAGGGCTTCGACACCTTCCTGCCTGTCTCTCAGGAGATTGCCAAGTCGCGTCTTCCTGATCCTCACAATGCTTTCCTCCGCTTGAGCGTTGGATCGCAAATGCGCCAGGCCGACTCCACCGGTCTGATGCTTTACCGCATCCCCAGACTTCTGGCGGAGATCTCCCGTGTCATGACTCTGGAGAAGGGTGACCTTGTCCTGACTGGTACTCCTAAGGGTGTGGGTCAGGTCAAGTCTGGCGATGTCATGAAGGCGTCCATTGAGTATGACGGCAAGGAGCTCGAGGAGGGTCGCATCGAGGTCGAGGTCAAGGACCGTGAGGGTAGATACCGGTACAGTGAGACCTAAATGGCTGTCTTGAACAAGATATATGTATCAGATAGACACTGTATATACATACCCTAGTTCTCTTCCAATATAGACTATCTGGAATGAAAAGTAAGTCGGTCTCTCAATGGCGATACCATTCCATAACAATGCGTTCGTCCTCTTCATCAGCCGGTACAATGGGTATGTATCTCCTCGTTCTCGGCCTTTTGCGCTGGACTTGCGGAACACTTGTCGGCTCGACTTTGACATTTTCATTAGACATTTCGTTTTCCTTGACTGGCTCCTGTATAGGCAATTCCCTGTCTCGAATAACCTTCAGCATGACGGCCCTCAAAGCACTCCAAGACCACCCAACGTGGCTTATCTCTTCCTCGATAAAAGCCTGGATACCAGAGTCACCAAGACCTCGCACAACCGCTCTGACAACCTCACTCTCATCCCTCTGTGCCTGCAATCCACATCGCATCCCCTCAGCAGCAGCCAAATAATCTGCCAACGATCTCCCACCCTGCTTCAGAACACCAATCAAATCCGTCTCAACTTCCTCAATCTTCTCACCCACCGAGGAAGGCGTCCCCCACGTAGTATCAGAAAGCGTCGACGACAGCCCACTCCTCCTCCCACCACCACCACCACCACCACCACCAGAAACCGAACCCATAGGCATTGAATCCGGAACAAGAACATCAGACCCAGCAGAACAAGCCTTGGCAATACCCCCTCTCCCCATTCCAATTCCCAGCTCCACCTTCACACCACTCTCTCCCCGTTCCATCATCATCATATCTTTCACTTCATCCAGCACCCTCACGCGAATACCCTCCTCCATTCTCTCTTGTTCACGAGCACGCCTCTCCAACCCCTCAATCCTACCCCGTAGGCGACGATTCTCATTCTCAAGCTCCTCAACCCGCTCAATACCAGTTCGTAGATTAGTGTCGAATCGAGCTTCAAGTTCCTTGAGGCTATTCTCTAGCTTGGAATTTTCCTCGCGTGCTCGCAGTTCTAGACTTTCCAGTCTGTGGTTCAGATTCGCTATGGTATCATCGGCAACAGCGGAGTCGGCTCTGATGCGGTTGAGTTGGTTCACGAGTTGGATGTTTTCGCGTCGTAGCTCGTGGGCCCAGAGGAAAGTGGATGGGTGGGGAGCGTTGGGGTTTGGTTGTCGGCGTGGGTTGTTCATTTGGTATTTGGAGGGTTCTTTATTTAGTTGGGATTGAGTTTCGTGGGGATAGAGTGGTTGTTGAGATGGGACGTGTTGTTGAAGATGTGGAGGATGGAGGATGGGAATGTGGTATACATATATGCTTTAGGCTGTGTCTGTACGGAGTAGAGTCCTTACAAGTTGGGGCGGTTTCCACAAAACCAAGGGTTGAAGATTGACTATTCAAAACAAACTAATGGAATGGTATGTACCTCTCTTGTCTATACTAGTGAACACAGGTATACAACCAGTCCGAGCCATAATCGTATCTTCGTCCACCCAAAGTGCCTCGAGGAAAAGAAAGCCTGATCGAACTAATCACATTTTTGGCCCGACCTCTTGGTCAAGTATGAACGCAGCATCCTTAACCAACCAGAGAGCGAGCTAGGTACAGAGCAAAGGAAAAAGGTGTGAAAAAGCGTTTCCGGAAGAGAACCATGAATTACAGCAATAAAATCGCACAAGCGTGTCGCATCTCCATAAGCAATAACAGACAAAGGAAAACCATAAACAGAACAAGACAGAAACACGCAGACTAAGACGGTTCCCGCTCGCCACTGCTAAAAGAGAAAATGCTGGAGACACAGAAAGCCACTTTTTGAAGGATTCTCCTTTACCAAGAGAAGCGCAACGATGTCAAAACGTCTTTCCCACCGCAGCTCACCCTTGGAGCGTTATTGGCAACTGCATTCGTAATCCGCATCGAGGGACGTTAGGTGATGGTATTAGGGAGTTTAGATGAGGTCTGGAACCAGAAGTCAGTATAAACACTACGATGATTAAAGTATGGGCCAAGGCTGGCTTACCAGCAACGTTCATGGGCATCTCCTCGATCTGGGTGCTGTAGAACTGCTCAATCTCACGCATCATGCGGACATCGTCAGCGGTGACGAAGTTGATGGCAACACCCTTACGACCGAAACGACCACCACGACCGATACGGTGGATGTAGTTCTCACGGTTGGCGGGAAGGTCGTAGTTGATGACCAGGGAGACCTGCTGGACATCGATACCACGGGCCAGAAGGTCAGTGGCGATCAGGACACGGGAAGATCCGGAACGGAACTCCTTCATGATAACATCACGCTGGCCCTGCTCCATGTCACCGTGCATGGCAGAGACGGTGAAGTCACGGGCAGTGAGCTTGTCGGTGAGCCAGTCGACCTTGCGGCGGGTGTTACAGAAGATGACGGCCTGGGTGATGGTGACGGTCTCGTAGAGATCGGAGAGGGTGTCGAGCTTCCACTCCTCCTTCTCGACAGCAATGTAGAACTGCTTGATACCCTCGAGGGTAAGCTCCTGCTTCTTGACCAGGATACGGATGGGGTCACGCATGAACTTGGTGGTGACCTCAAGGACATCCTGGGGCATGGTAGCGGACAGCAGGGTGACCTGGGTAGACTGGGGGAGGAGCTGGAAGATGTCGTAGATTTGCTCGGTGAAACCACGCTGATTATGTTGTTAGCCAAGGCACAACTCTCGGGGCCGATCTGGAAATGGACTTACAGAAAGCATCTCATCAGCCTCGTCGAGGATGAAGAGCTTCATCTGGTCGGTCTTGAGGACACGGCGCTCAATCATATCGTGGATACGACCGGGGGTACCGACAACGACCTGGGGGCCGGCGCGGAGGGCGTTCATGTCATCACGGACGTTGGTACCACCAATGCAGGCGTGGCACTCAATGTTCATGAAGTCACCGATGGCGACAACGACCTTCTGGATCTGCTGAGCCAACTCACGGGTGGGAGCGACAATCAGAGCCTGGCAGGCCTTGAGCTCCTGGTCGATCTTCTGGAGAGCGGAGATGGAGAAAGTGGCAGTCTTTCCGGTACCAGACTGAGCCTGGGCAATGACATCGTGGCCTGGGATGCTCTAGTTAGCATCATAGGTTATGGGCGACCGTGCGGGGAAAACCTACCGGCAATGATGGGCTTGATGGCACGCTGCTGGATAGCGGAGGGACGCTCGAAACCGTAGGCGTAGACACCTGGACGTCGTCAGAACATGTTGGCACAGACCCCACCAGGGCGAAGATAAAATTTGTATCACATACCGCGAAGCAGCTCGGGCTTCAGGTCCATGGAGTCGAAGGAGTCGGTGACCTCATCGTAGTTGGTCTCGATCTGTCCTATTGACGTGAAAACTATGGTCAGCTACTTTGTTTCCCAGTATATTTCGATAATGGGTTGTGGCGATTATCTCCTTCTGCTGGCTTGAGAACGAGCCCCATTGTCCAGCGAAGTAGATAGAAATAGACCTCAAATTCGCTGTGAAAAAATATGAAGCAAGCTATGTAGGAACACATACCCTCGGGGATCTCCTCCAAACCCTTGTCGTTAGAAGCCATGATTGCGGTGTTGTTGTAAGAAGATCACAGGCGAGATGCTGTGATCGAAGAAGACGGTGGGGTTTTGGATTAAAACTGGAAAAGGCTTGTTAGCGATAGGCGAGGATGGTGGGGGAGGGCGCAATGCGCAGAGAAACACTGGGAAGAGAGCAACGAACCTGGTAGCACAACTCTCGGGGGATGAGAGATATCACAAAGACTTCAAAAGTCGTAGGGGTGGGAAGAGAAAAGAAGTTCAAGTTGGATGACCGAAGATGGTGTGGGAAAATGGGGGGAGCAGAAGCGGCGGGACGAGCACTGCGAACTTTTTTTTTTTTCTCTTCCCTTTTCTTTCCCTGTGTCTGCCATTTTTCCATTTGTCGCGGTGAAATTTTTGATTTTTAGCGCAAATTTAGCCTAGCCGATACGCACCGCCTACTAAATCAGGAAACCTACCCACGTACTTGCCTTGTGGGAATTTTGTCATTATTTCCTTATTCGCTGGCTAGACTACGGAGGGAAATCTTCGGTAATATTTTCGTTACCCAGGAGGCAAGTTTTTTACTGCGTAGGACCATAGTATTGCCGCTTAAGAAGTCCACAGGAGTGTTGTTTATGGGTGGGTTGGGCATAAGACCCCCCGTATCTTCCCTGCCTGACAGCCCTGGCCGTTGGTTGTGTGGGCTGTTTATTACTAGTCTGTACCACCACCGCCGCCCGGTCTGTGACCGGTCTAGTCGTTCCCCACCCAATTGGGAAAGTTCCTACAATTCAATGCCCGTCTCTTTCTTTTTCTTCAAATAATAATCATGAAAATGCCGGATATCAATTCCTTGGACTGTGCTCGTCCTCTCGGCGGTGCAGTAGCTGCCCATAGCTACTCTTCGCATCCAGAGCCCGATGTTGAGGATCTGTCTGGCCATGAAGAAATCCCTGGCCATCCTCTGGGCGTGAAGCCTAGTGGCAATGCTTTGCTCGCCGCAGAGAACCTGCGCCATGCAATTGGCACTTTTAACATCCTACCGGATGAGTTGATATTGATGTTGCTCGAATACCTCGATGGTCCCAGTCTGTTGAATATTGGACAGACGTGCAAGGCATTTTATGCTTTCACCAGAGCCGAGGATCTCTGGAAAGCTCTTTTCACCGGGTGAGATATAGATCTTTGTTCTTACATTATTGCTATTGTCTACATCTGCTTGCCAGGGGACTGCTTATTCTTGTTGGTTCCTGGGACGTGGCACTCTACTGTCTCATCGCGTTTGTAGAATTATAGCTAGACGGCCTGGAGCATTGCACTAACGCTTTAGTCAGTTCTCCTCCCGCTTCGTTCTCATGGAAAGGAACATGGCGCTCAACTTATCTTAACATTCCTCCGTCGGAAGAGTGCATCCTAGACTGCTCGAATTTATTCTCGGATGTCCTGCACCGACCCTTCCACTGCGCCCATATATCTTTAGATCCCTATATTAAGAATATCCCTGCCCGCAACCAAATTGCCCGTCTCCCCGATCTCTCTTTTGAGGATTTCAATGAAAAATGGAGCGACACGCCCTTCATCTTGACTGAGCCTGTGAAACAATGGCCAGCCTACAAGAACTGGTCCGTAAACATGCTTTTGGATCACTACGGCGAGGCTATTTTCCGCGCAGAGGCAGTGGACTGGCCGCTCCATACTTATGTTGATTACATGCACAACAACTCCGACGAGAGTCCCCTCTATCTGTTCGACCGGGCCTTTGTATCAAAAATGGGCCTCAAAGTCGGTCAGCCGGACCAGGAGCCTGACGCCACTTACTGGCCTCCCAGCTGCTTTGGAGAGGACTTCTTCTCCGTGCTGGGGAACGATCGCCCTGACAGGCAATGGCTGATCATTGGACCCGAGCGGTCTGGAAGTACCTTCCACAAGGACCCGAACGCTACCAGCGCCTGGAATGCGGTTGTCCGTGGTTCAAAATACTGGATCATGTTCCCATCGTCTTCGAAGCTCCCGCCGCCTCCGGGCGTCTATGTGTCAGACGACCAGAGTGAAGTGACTTCCCCTCTTAGCATTGCTGAGTGGCTTTTCGGTTTTCACGCGGAGGCACGACGTAGCCCAGGCTGCATCGAGGGGATTTGTCACGAGGGCGAGATTCTCCACGTTCCTTCGGGTTGGTGGCACTTGGTCGTCAACATTGAGCCAGCTATTGCCATTACTCAGAACTTCATACCCCGTGCCCACCTGAGCGCTGCGCTGGACTTCTTGTCTAACAAGGCAGACCAGGTTTCAGGTTTCAGAAAGGACGTTAACAATCCCTACGAACGGTTTGTGGCGCAGATGCAGAAATCGCATCCTGAGCTATTGGAACAGGCGCAGGCAGAGCTGCAGAAGAAGAACGAGGGGAAGAAACGCAAGTGGGACGAAATTGTGCACGGAAATGCAGAGCAAGACGGAGGTGATGCCGCCGAAGGAGGCGGGTTTAGCTTCGGGTTTGGAGATGACAGCGATGTTGAAGTCCCCTAATTGCAGCCTCCGCTGCTTGCAAGTGAACGCATGAATGTTCATTAGACGAGTATGCAACTGATGCTGTTTCCAAAACGACAAGACGACCACAGCTACCTAACGAGGCTACTGCTAAGAATATGCCCGGTTCCCGCCAAACTTCAGGCAAGCCTTCGTGCTTACAGTCCATTAATGACAAGCAACCGTTTTGCTGGCAGAGGTGTTGTCCCCAAACGCCAAATATCCCACAAAGGCACCAACGGCAACTGCGAGCATGACGAATCCATTGTACGTCATGAAGAGCAGCCTGAAAAGTTAGAACTCGCCCAAGTCGAAGAGGGAGTGGATAGGAGAGGGATTAGAAGACTTACATGATGAAAAAGCTATAGAATACCTGCACAGCATACAAAGCTGCCATGGTGATCTTGCCTCTTTGCTCGACGGTCCTTCGGCTATCCCTGCCTACAACTAGGGGTGAGCCGGTATTCGGGGCAGGCAGCGTCTGGCTAGAAGGGACATTGGCCGTGGCAGAATCGTCGTGGACCTCGCTGCCTTCACGGTGTCAGGTGCTTCATCCCAGCAAAGGTTGGGCCAAACCAATAACCAGCGCTCGAAGATGAGGAAGAAACCATGACTCCAATATCCCCGCCATGCATTATACAGGAAACATAATAGGAACTGAGATGTACGTACCTCCAACGGCAACCGTAGTATATGCACTTAGCCTCCTAGCGTGAGCTGCTTCGAACCGCCGTGTAAGCTGTCGAATCCCCTCGTAGCCGGCCGTCAAAAGGACAATGACAATAAGTGAACCCAGAAGGGACCAGGTGCTGGTAATGCGCCATTGGGGAAAGACGATGCAGAGGTTCTTCGTAGACCAGGTGAACAGCATCTAGCAAGCATCGTTAGCCGGACGAGCCAGGAGGGCAGTGCGTTGTAGCAAGCTCCACTTCCCAGCACCGCTTGTACTCGCACCAAGATAGAAGCAACAAGACACTCACATTCATACTGCACTGTCCATCACCCATATCCATATCTCCATGATCATGACCATGGTCCATGTCCATCATGCCATGCATTGAGTGATCCATCGCGAAGTCGGGCCGTAGCAAGGGTCCAACAAGTAGAATAGTCGTTGATGATGAAGTCAAGTACACTATGTACAGCGAGTTTCAGCGTAGCAAATATCACAAGCCTCTCTCAGATAGATAAAGAAGCCAGCAAACCACACCGGTAAGATAGAGAGGGAAAGAGAGCAAGGGAGATGGGGAGATGCAGCTCCCAGGTGTACGTAAGGTGACGGAGCGATAATGTGACGCGGATGCAAACCATCCAAACACCAACGATAAGATCTGGCGGCGATCATCATCCAATCCATCCATTCACTCACTTCCACTTACTTCTCTTCCGCTTCTAGATGCTAGAGATCGCGACACCACCTCCACCAGTGCACTCGTTTCAATGCGCGCTCGCATCTAAGCCAACCAACCCCCCATCTCAATCTCCTCATAATTGACGCTTTCCCACGACTACAATCACGTCACCCACCACCACAATGGCCGAATCCGCCGCCGCCGCCGCTGCAACACCGGCTGCATCAAGCGCCCCAGCACCAGCACCACCAACTAGCACAGCAGGCCCAACTTCCACCACAAATCCCAACTCCACAGCACCCAATTCCACACCAAACAATAACAATGCCAATCCCAACTCCACCTCCAATTTCAGCTCCAACAACAACACAACATCAAACAACACCTCCAACTCCAACAACCCCAACCAATCAAACGACTCCTCCGCTTCATCAACCGCAAACCGCGGCCTCCCCTACTACGAGAAACTCCGCCGCGAACTGCGCGACACACTTCAGAAGAAGCGTCTAATGGATAAGAGCATGGTACGGGACACCCCCCCTCCATTTCCCCCCTTTAACTTCTCCGTATCACGAACCAACAAATAAACGACAGGCCCAACTCGAAGACCAAATCTACCGCTTCGAACAATCCTACCTCGAAGAAACCACCGCCGGAAACATCATCAAGGGTTTCGACAACTACATCAAGGGATCGTCCAGCGGGGCCGGGATCGGCGGAGCAGGCATTGCCCTCTCATCGAGTATGAGCGGTGGAGGAGGCGCTGCGAGACGAAAGGCGACGGTGTCGGACGCGGATCGTGTGTTTTCGAGGAGTTCGGCGAGTTTTATGCGGGTATGTCTACCTTCCTTCCCTTTCTCTCTGTCTCCGTCCCCTTTGCATTTGATTGTGTGGATGTGTGGATGTGTGGATGTGCGTAAGCTGACGGGTTCTCTGTGTTTGTGTTTAGGATTCACCCGCGCCTTCATCGGCTCAAACAACGCCGTCGCATGCGGCGACCCCGAATTCCACGTATAATGGATCTACTGGCAAGCCTGGGAACGGCGATGCATCGTCTGCGGCGAATAGTGTGAAGGGGGGCCAAGCGTCGAAGAATAAGAAGAAGTCTGCGGCGAGTAATAAGGACAAGGGGGATGATGATGGGACAGATGGGGATAGGCCGCCTACGAAGAGGTTGAAGATCACTTACGGGAGGGATTGATATATCAGTTTTTTATTTCGTTTGATTTCATCGAGAGTTGGTTGGAGTTGGTAGGTTCTTTGCTGGGTTGGATAGGGAGCTGTGGCGCGCGGAAAACTACTGATTATATTTGTTCGAAGAGTTCGCTGTGTTTGCTAGGTTTCGCTATTTGTCTGTGATATCCTCTGTACTACTAGATTGCATCGGCATTGCTCTGCTAGACTATACATCTCGAAAGATATGCCACTTGGTGTTAGGAAATACAGACAATTTTTCCTTTCACAGCATGGGAACTGACTACAGCTGCAGTCTGTATGTCGCGACCTCGAAGGCTCTCAGCTCGATATCAATGGTCGTGGTCTGTGCATCACTCTTGGATAAGACCAGGCTCGTCTCGTCATCCTCAAGGATATTGCACTTCCATGCCCTCTTGACGGGGAGCTTAGTATTGATGGTGCCACGGCTTTTACCACCCAGGGACTCGTAGATCCGGAGGATGACGCTCTTCCCGGCACGCCGTGGCAGTTCATCACGAGACACGTCTTCATCATCTTCACCGCGCTTCACTGTGTCCAGGACAAGCGAGGGAGAACCATCCAGCAAGATAGACTTAAACGCATCGCTTGCCCCCAGACCAGATGCGGGCTCCAAGGCAAGGGGATGGTTGAAGCTGTACCCTGCGCGGATCGTGCGATGGTCCAGGGGTCCTGCGTGCGGGAGAATCGCGTAACGGATACGATGATGGCCCATATCTGCATGAGCATCCGGTGCCTTCGGGGCACGAAGCAGGGAGAGGCGCATCATGTTACCACAAGTTGCAAACCCATACTTGGAATCATTGAGGATCGAGACACCGTAGCCGTGCTCGGACAGATCTGCCCACTTGTGGCAGCACACTTCAAACTTGGCCATGTCCCAGCTGAAACCTATTAGCACCTGCATATGTGGAAAGAAGGGTAGAATTACCTGGTGTTGTAATGAGTCGGGCGATTGATGATTCCGTACTGAGTCTCATACGATGCTTGTGTGTTCGTGATGTCGACAGGGAACTCGACCTTGAGGAACTTCATGGTCTCCCGCCATTCGACTTCACTTTCCATCTCAACATAGGATGGCTGATCTCCAACGGCAGCAGCCAGGCTGATAGTCGTCTTGACCCAGCTCTCGTCGCTTATGCGGGTCTCAGTGACCACGCTGACACGATACGGGTCGTTTTCAGCGACAGTAGTCTTCCCGGATTGCAACTCTTTCCTCGATTCGAGGTGGAAGACCTCAACGTCCCACGCTTGCCAGTAGAGTGGTTTATCGTCAAATATGACAAGCTGGTTAGCTTTCCCGCCCTTGGCAACGATTTCGCGCTTTTCCTTCAGATCGTACAATGATGTGATGACTCCGTCGTGCACATCTACCCTCAGTTTCTCGTTCTGTAAACGGAAGACACCTGGCTCGATCTCGGAAACAGTCACAGCAGGCGCTCTGTTTGAAGCTGTGGGAAGCCGACAGTTGATAGGACCACTTTCACCACTGACAATGGCGTACCTAGGGCCACCCGCAGTTGTAAACTCAGCAGGGACCTTGACTACTTCTGAGCGAGGCCAGGGCAATGTATTGATTGCGACGAGACCCTTGGCGGTGCTGCTTCCAAGTCCAAGAGCTTGGAGGGCTTCCTTCCGAACCTTGTTGCCAATTTCGAAAACCTTCTTGTATAGCTCTCTGGAGTCATCATAGCACATCTCGATGCTGCTACCGGGAAGGCAGTCATGGAATTGGCACAAAAGTACATCTTCCCACATCCCGTCGATTTCCTCCTTGGGGTACTTATACTTGTCCACAGACTGCTCAAGAGTAGCGAGAGTAGCAAGGTACTCGATTTCCCTGAGCAAAAACTCTGACTTGCGGTTTCCCCGTTTGTTGTTGGCCTGTGTGGTATACGTGCCCCGATGTAGTTCGAAGTATAATTCACCATACCACGTGGCGAAGCGGGTACCTTGTTCTACCTTCTTCTCGAGCTTTGCGAAGAAATCATCGACCGAATCTCCCATCTTGACACGAGGAAGCAAGCCAACCTTGTCACTGAGACCGCGGCAGCGGCGCAGCTTCTCCAGATGCTCAAAGGTTGGCCCGCCACCACCGTCGCCCTTGCCGAATACTAAGAGTGACGTGTTGTCGTTGTCCATTGACTTGTGTTGAGTCACGCTACGCTTCACGTCACCAAAGTGAGCGCTCGCAGTGTATGTCTCCGCTGGTGGCATGTGGCACATAACCTGGCTTCCATCGAGTGCAACCCAGAGGAATGTGGTGTGCGGGAAGTTATTGATATTATTCCAACTGAGCTTTTGGGTGAGGAAGCGACTCATGCCTGCCAAACGACAGATCTGAGGTATCTGCGTAGAGTAGCCAAAGGTATCCGGAAGCCAGAAGGTTGTACAGCGTTCACCGAAGTTTCTCTCAAAGAAGCGTTGGCCATAGAGGAATTGCCTCACCAGCGACTCTCCGCTGGGCATGTTGGTGTCATGCTCGACCCAGCTGCCGCCGATAGGTTGGAAGTGACCTTTCTTGACCCACTGTTTGACGCGTTCAAAAACCGATGGATAGTATTGCTTCAACCACTTGAACTGTTGTGCCTGGGAGCAAGCGAAGCGATGCTCCGGGTATCGGTCCATCAGATCACACTGGTTCGACCATGACCGGGCAACCTTACGCTTAGTCTCCGCCCAAGGCCACAACCAGCAAGTATCGATATGGCAATGTCCAATAGCGTAGACGATGGGTTCCGTGTCGGTCTCGTACACTTGGGAAGAATCTACTTTACTACCCAGGTACTTCTGGGCTATTTTGCGTGCCTCCTTGATTGATTCATTGCTGCCTTCCCCAGCAATGAACGCATCAATGATAGCATTGCCAACCATATTGGCCTCATGCGACTCCCAGCCATCACCAGGGAATTCCCTGGCCGCGTCTAGTGTACCAAGTCAGTAAACATCGACGGGATGGTCTATCATCTAACAGCTAATAGCGGCACAGGCTGCTTAAAGTTACTGGTTCGAACATACCTCCAATGATCCAGAAATCGTAGAACAATGCCCGTGCTTCTAGGTTGACGGCTGTGATCTGAGCTTTGTGCAATGTATAGTATTTGTTAGGGTTGGGCGGCTGGATAGAATCTCCCCCAGGCGCATTTCCAAACATGCCATTGCAGGCCATCTCGATGTAGAAGGTATGTTCCTTCCCATCCCGCCAGGCATCGGGGATGATCCATTCGATACGCTCGTTGCCACCAGTGAGACCTTGAAGGGGCCGACCATCTTCCGTCCAGACTAGACCTTCGTTGTTTGCATCCCAGTGGAACTCCAGACGTTCCTTTTTGCGCATATCCTCCGGGACCGTCAGGCGGATGCGGAACCAATGAGTGGACCAGCTTGGTCCGAACGATGCTCCGATGTGGGTAGGTTTAAATTCATTGGAGGTAGCCTCTTTGAAAGTTGGGCGCTGGAGGTCAGGGACGGAGTATACTGAAAGCTTGACATGGTCTTCGTCGGAATTGACGGCCTCGTTCAGCTTGCTAGTAGACCTTTAGTATAGTTCGGACGTAAAATAAACGATCGGAAGAATGAAGAAATGTGTGCAATAAGACCACAATGAGAATGTACTTACGAGATGAGGTTCTGGCCTTCGTATTGTCCGGTGGCGGTGAATTGCTTGAGACGGTCGGTGTAGATGCTCTTGATGCGTTGACCGACTGGGCCCGCGGGAGTCTGGGGAAGGGCGCTGGGAGCTTGCCGGGGAACGTCTCCACCCATGGTAGCGGGTCTAGATCAGTGGAGTGAAGAGATAAACAGATTTGGATGCAACGACTGATAATTTAAAGCATTTGAAAGATTCGAATGAACTGGATGATCAAAAGAGGAGGGAGTCTGTTCAAAGGAAAGAAGAGGGGAAGAGAGGAGTCGCCAGGAACGGCCAGGAACACGACAGGGCAGGTGACATGACGTTGGATGCAGGCATTCCTGTGCTGATCCGGGGTGGCTGTTATGTCAGCCATTCATTCCCCATTGCCTTTTGCGGAGACTTTGACAATAGAAACATGATGTGAACATTTATTTTATCGAACGTCAATTGAGGAAATATTAGTGCTTTGGTGACAGCATTAAGTTGATTTGAAAAGTCCAGTTGAATTTGTCTGGATGACAATAGTGTGGTATACTGAACCCAAGCACAGACATCCATTAAGTTCGAAGGCGCCCGGGCGATTTCCCCGAGCTTACGAAGGCTGCACAACAATACGCCGTCTACCTGGCCTGTTACTTACCGCAATGTGAGCTAATGGAATTTGTTTCAACTAAGATGGACATGACCCTGCCATGGTGAGTTGACCCTTGCCTGCCAACGTTCGGGCGTCAAAGTCACATGCTCTTATAAAACTGATCAGATCTAGCGAGCTGAACTGTTACTTTTTGATGGATAACATCGATAGGCAGTCTTTAGATGGCATGTCGCTATCGTACTCGATGACAGTGGCCGCTTGCGAGGTAGAGTTCTGACGGGACTATAGCACCGGGATAATTATTACCTCCTGCATCGACATATTGCAACCATGGCACACTTAGCTCTATCTAACCATCGAAGAACATGTTCTTGGGCGATAAGGCTGTGCAATATCTTCTGAATTCGATAGTAGTGTGACTGGATTGCTGAGCGAGAGTTCAGGACAGCTGGGGCTTCACTCCTCAAACTGTCTAATATCTACAACGAGCTCTTGGCGTCCAGACACTTCATCGAGATGATTGATCGACATATATATATCGAGCTCCAGAAAGAGTAACACCATACTCTCGACCAGGAACTCAAGCAGTATGAATATTAGTAAGTAGCACGATTAGTGGAGTGCTTTTAGCGATGTCATAGACAAAAGCCTGACTTAAGGTTTGTGGCAGTAGTTTTGGTCTATCTCATTCATGAGACAAAGCTGATTTCTATTGCCTTTGAGCAAATATTTTCTGGAGATAATGTTGTCGTTAGGGTGACTTTGCTGGCGTGAGGCCAGGGGCCACTCTTTCTGCCCTTCAGTCAGCTTATTGCCGTGACGTATTAGCTTGTGTTGTAGCTGCATCAAATATGTCTGTCTCTCTCGCCAATAGGGGCATTAAAGACTTGTTCCCCCGAGATAATGTTGTTACAATTAATTCTTCCAATGCTATGGTCGTAGAGACCATCAACCATCAGCCGTATCACATGACCGTATAGTACATGGCCCTTCGGGTTTCCATTTCTGGAAACAATTTAAGGTTAAACTGCACCCCACGCAGAAAAACAGCGGCTCTTGGACAGATATCTGTCTCCCTGGCTAATAATGGGCATTTTCTATCATTTGTAAGACCATTTCACCGCGCACATCGGTAACTGACTAATAAATATATCTTCTTGCTGATGGCAGACTCTCACTGAGTGACATCATGAACAAGCGGGGTTCTGAGGGATCTCCATTAGTCAGCCAGCTTGGGCAGCAGCCCAGTAGCGCTAAACCCAAAAAGGCCGAAGAATTCCCGTGACAATTTCCCACGGACAGCGAGCAGGGCAATAACAACCCGGCCAAAGTAATATGAGTGCGGGGCATTGGAGGGGAGAAAATCTGCTAAAACTCACTCGAAGTCAAAGAGAACCTCCCAGAAATAAAAATCCACTGACATCGACTTTCCTAAAGGAGGAAACAAATCCCACCACCGCCATCGGACTATCACCTAGCTATTTCCTCGGGGGTTGCAGGCGTGTGCCTCGATTTGTAATCCCCCATCATCAGATAACCCCGAAAATTCGCTGATAACCGTCAAACACAATCTCTGCCACTTTCCCCGCCACCCAATCACAACGCCGTCAGATGACAATTGAGTCAGCCAGACGAAACCCAAAACGAGCATCCGATCACGGCCACTGATCACTTTTGAACCTCAATTTCCACTCCCTTCCATTTATACCCCAACTATCTCCTCTCCCTTCCCCCTTCACGGGCGAACTCGCAGGTAGACCGACACAATGGCTCCCTCGTTCGTGACCATCGACACAACGCCTGATTTCGACATGGCACCCGCCCCCTCCTTCCAGCCCATGTCGACCGGCAGCCCCTCCAAGCGCACTCTCCTCCTCGCTCCCCCCTCCATCGCCACTCAAGAAGAGAAGCTCCGGGACCTCTTCACCACCTTTGACCGCTCCACAACCGACCTGCAGATGCTTGACCGCATATCTGCCGGCTTCGTCTCTCTCCCCGCCAACACCTACGATCACATTGTCGTCCTAACCGATACCGATGGCACGCGGCGGTCGGAAGCCCTCCACCTGCTCACGCGGGATGTCTACACCGCGTTGGTTCCCTGCATGAAAGCCGGAGCGAAGCTACAGACCCAGGATAACTTTTTCGGAGAGGCTGAGGAGCGCGAGGCAGTCTTGGCGGGGCTGATCAAGACCGATGCCGGATTTGAGAAGATGGACCAGCCCAAGTCGTTCGCGATTCCTCTGCGACGCAATGGGAAGAAGAAGGATGCGGCGAAGACAGAGACAGTTGCTCCCGCACCTGCGCCTGCCCCGCCCGTGCAGCCTGTCACCGTGGGCATGATTAATAATGACGACGATTACGAGAACGACGATGACTTGATTGACGAGGATACCCTGCTGTCGGATGAGGATTTGAAGAGACCTATCCAGCGTAAGTCCCTTTCATACTTCGATAAATCTCGCGGAATCTGAACCATGCTAACAATGCAAGCAATCACAGCCCCCGAATGCCAGCCCAAGCCCGGCCGCCGGCGTCGCGCCTGCAAGGACTGCACGTGTGGACTCGCAGCACGACTCGAGGCAGAGGAACAAGCCGAGCGGGAGAAGGCAGACAAGGCTCTGAACGTGATGAAGCTGGAGACGGAGGACCTGAATGAACTGGACTTTACCGTGCAGGGTAAGACAGGCTCGTGTGGAAACTGCGCCCTGGGCGATGCCTTCCGGTGCGCAGGCTGTCCGTTCATCGGACTGCCGGCGTTCAAGCCGGGCCAGGAGGTGCAAATCCTGGAAAACGTTGCGCAGTTGTGAAAGTTTCCTTTTCAGTTCTTCTCAGGTCGGGTCTCCTTTCTTTCGGTTTCTTGTGGGTTGGCTGGTCGGTTTGCTTGGACAGGCGATGGTTGGGCGCAGGATAAAATAGAATACCTTATCTTAGTTTAGCCTTTTTATTTATCATGACCTAACTCTATGAAATATATAGGGTTACATTTAGGAATATCAATGACCTACTAGTCGTTCCTATTGCCTCGCTTTGATAAACACAACAGTTACCTTACTGCAGATAAAGTACTAGACTTTCCAGAAGAGAATAAATATAGTATGCAATCCCGCTGAACCCACATCATCGAACACAAGGCCAATAAATACCAGACAACACAACACGAAACCCATCCCACCCATTCATTCATCTTCTTTCCTACTCCCCTACCTCCTCCGTACTAAGTACACACACCATTCAAATCCCCAATCCCATCCATCCCACACCCAAGGCAAATACTAATACCAGAATCCCCAAGACACAAAATCAACAGCATAACACAAACCCATTCACCATCTTCAGTAATAACCAATAGTCGCACAGCATTGTCCATCCATCCCTAGATTAGATTACTACAATCTACAATACCTCCTACTATAGAACAAGATAATAATATAGATACATTGTAGTGTCTACTAAAATAACAGCTGATCAGCTGATATTCTACCTGGAAGAGTAAGTAATCGACGCAAGGGTCTATCACATACAGAGTAGGCACAGATATCGTAGAATTATCATTCGCATGCTTAAGACTACACATACGTACAGCTACAGCCACGATGGGACTGATTCCTACTTTAGGGATAGGGGGTGAAAGGTTTAGGTGACTTGATTTGGTCGGAGTTATGATGTTTCAGTTGCAAATTGGATTTGTCTATGGTTGTCGATGGAGATAGATAATGTGTGTTTAATATGTGCCTAGGGGTGAAAGACAGGGCAAGGGTTAGGGAAAGGAAAGAGAGACATTTGATCCAGGAGAATTTCCTGGTCAGATCATGTGCTGGTGCTGCATATGCAAGCAAGTATTGGGGATAGATATGTAAGGGATGGGGCACGTGTTACATTTTTTGGGTGGGGTGGGGTGTATTCAATTACTGCGATTATTGGACGATTAGTCTGACTATAGTGGGCTGTAGAAGTAAAGATTCGATATTGGGTCATTAGAAAGCTAGTACTCCTCAAGGTGAAATATCACATAAATGAAGTAGCTATAGATAAAGCATCCATAGGTGCATCCCCAACGCCAAGCAGAGACTCTGAAAATGCCAACGGGATATCACGGTAATGACTAGAGTTGCAGGACAAGACGAGAGTTGTAGACGTAGAGAGTGACCGGAAATAAATAAGGACAGGCTAATTGGATAACATGAACAATGAAGCGAATGGGATATCATAAACATAGAAAGGAAAGAAGACGGAACGAGAAAGGAAAGTCTGAGAGGAGAGATAGTGAGCTTTTCGTTCTAAATCCATAGATCGGTCTGTCCGTAATTGTTATTGTATGCACTGACGGGTCCGACTAGTCGGATCTGTGATTTCAGCTCTGTGTGGCGTCGATCGCCTCGCACTCCGATCATCTTCTTCCGCGCGCCGTCAAGGGCGTCGAGGATCTGATGGGTGCCGTCTTGGATAGCTCGGACGCAGTCCCGAGTGTTCTGCTGAAGTTGAGACCGGGCGGGTGGCGTCAGGGGTGGCGTTGCGGAGGACACAAAGCCCTTCTTTGACGAGCGTCGTTTCCGATAGCGAGGAAACCGAACATTAGGGCTCTGTCGGTAACTGATGCGCTTCTCGCGACCTGGCTTCTCCCAGATCACCGCACCGTACTTCTGATACGGCGACATCGGCACTGCCAGCTGCTTCTTCCGTGGGGACGCCAGAGGCCGCGGGTGCGGGCCGCGCGCACCCATGGTTGAGCGAGTGGACATGCGCGATAGGCGTTTATTCGAGGGTGAGATATCCACTGGGCTCAGAGGAGACCTTGGACTTCCAGGATGATGATATTCGTCGGTTGTGGTGATCTTGCTCGATGGCGTGGGGGTGCGCACAGGATCCACTGAACCTGCTGTGGGGGGTGAGGACCGATTACTCCTGTTTCGTTCCAGGGAATTTTTCGACAAGCGCCGTTGCACATAGGAACGAATGGAATTGCGCACGTCCTGAGCGAGGGCGCGTCCACTTCGATCGGATGAGTTCCAACGGTTGCGGCTGGCGAAGTCGAACACGGTGAGGTTCAGTTTACTGCCGTTCTTTTTGCGGGGGTGAGTAGGAAAATGCGGGGATGTCGGGAGAGCCGACGGAGTAGCCAGCTCAGGGAAAAAGTCCCATTTCTTCTCCCGGAAGTAATGGTTGGGGCCAGCCCGGTTAGCGACCCAGGGTTGGGCTCGGTCGGAGTGGTCATCGTGGAGGAAAGTAGTGGTGATGGCGAAAGGTGCGGACTTTGGATGGTCATTGTGGTGATGGTGATGGTCGTCATGCTGGTACGGGTCGATGGGCCCGGTAGTGGGTGGATGATCGACAAGCTCGGACAGATCGTCTGAACCAGAGCGGACAAAAACAGGGTAACTCTCGGACGAATCCGCCGAAAAGCGTCGGCTGTCATCGTAGAAGCTGGAGATGGTACTACTGTCATCACTCCATGCAGTGGAGCCCTCATCCATCGACGGGGTCTCAGGCAGTGGCTTGGGAGGCAGCTCAGGGAGCGGCTTATCAATATGTCGCAGTGCCGGGCGAGCAGGGGGCACTGGCACTCGAGGAGGGACGACTTGCTCTAGTCCCTCCAAGGAACGAGAGGGCCTCACTGGAGGGGCCTGTCTAGAAAGTGCCAACGAGGACGGAGAAAGCATGGTGCTGTTGTGCTAGATGGAGAGGGAGGGGGGGTTGGGAGTGGGGAGTAATATTCCCGTGGCTCGGGCCAGGAACTGGGAAGTATATCGTTGGCAGTGCCAGGCGATAGTTTATAGAGTTGGCACGAAGGGAGGGGAAGGGATGTCTCAAAAGACCTTTCCCCCTCCTGAAGGATGGGGGGGAAAGAACAGAGAAAAACGTGGCAAGGGAAAGACAAGCAGAACCAAGACGTAGAAGGAGTGAAGAGAAAGAAGCTGAAGAAGAGAAAGATAACCAGCGAGAGGTACCAGCCGGGAGGGAAATGGCCCCGATTGGGATGTTCTCCGTAGGCGAAGTACCAAAATTGTGACCCGAATACGGCCAGCGTCGTTGCTTTTTTGACTATGCTCGCCAGTCGCCGGTCTTGATGCGATTTTAACCTTTTTTTGGCGTCCAGGATGACAGGCCAGCAAGCAGGGCAAGCAAACAATCACACGACCGTCACCCGTGCAAGTCAGTCAGCCTGTGGCCAGTGTCTTTATCCGGCAGTGTAGAGATAAAGAACCCGCCGGGACCATGGTTCAACAAGAAGAGAACGAGGGGGGAAAGGAAAGAAAGGAATGAGGATGAACGAAGAAGGGAGGAAGGGAGAAGAAGAGGGAGAGGAAAGGGAGACGATAGGATGGAGTTTAAAGGGAGATGGGTTTAATAAGAATAATAATCATAAAAATAAATAATCATTAGAGGAAGAAGGAAGAAGGAAGAAGAGGAGAACGAGGCCGACTACAAGAAACTCAGCAGCGGATGGATGTGATGGGATCCATCAGGGAGGGTCGCCATATGCAGCTCGTCAAGCTCCGTCTGGCTGGTCCGGCCGTTCATCCCTAGATCCCAAGGAGTTCGGGGCGGAGTCCATGTAGAATTTTGGGAAAATTCATGAGAAAAGAAATAAAATAAATAAATATTCAAAAAGCAAAAATAAAAGCGACATATCTCAAGGGCAGTTCCTGGCCGAACTGCAGGATGGGATCGTCGTGGTCATCATCATGGGCGGGAATAGCCTCATGAAAGTGACACCCTCATGCAAGGGATGGACCGGGGGGTGTGGATGGTGTGTGTGGATGGTGTGTGGGTGGGCTTGCTGAGGGGCGCGCCATTAGGGTGATTTCCGTTCAATTTTCGTCTACAATTACCGGAATTCTGGTTCTGGCTCTAGATAGAATATTGATTGAATGATTTGGAAGTTAGAAATAACACATTGACACAGAGGCTGAGAGAAAAATAGACATGGGAAGGTCCAGACATTTGATGGATGGGGCAAAGACCCGGGTTAGGGCCGGGGAAGAATACGAAGCGCAATAACCAACAATTTTGGAGTCACCGAGTGATCCCAGCTTACTTGCTTGCTGATTGCTGGATTGCTGATTGCTGAACCCCGGAAGTCGATCCTTTCCCTCTGTCAGAAATGGGATCTGAATGGTTCATGGCATGGCGGGTTTATTCTTAGTGATTTCTTAGTTAGATCAACACCAATCGACTCAACTAAACCAACTAGTCGCGCTGGTCGTTGCCAGTCAAACAAAGAAACCTGGACGCCGCTTATCCCTGGTTGCCCTCCTCCACAGCCCTCATCCTTCAGCCTTTCAGCTCACACACTCTTTCTTACTCTTTTTCTTTTTACTTTCTCATTTTCTGCTATCTACCTACTCAACTAACTTTTGGCATTTCACGTTGCTTACTCTTCTATCCCTGCACTCGATTGAACTTAATTCCGCATTGGTGGCTAAATTATTCAGCATGTCCCCTAGTCTTTTGTCAACTAAGAAAACAAGAGAAAAAGAGACGGAAAAAAAAAAGTCTGCATAGAAAAGTGACACACATACTCACTGTAGGGAATCACACAAGATAGATCATATTGCGGTATGGAGATCGCCTTTGACAGACCCTCTTCCCTTTTGCTTCTGTCCCTCTTCTCTGCACGCTTAGCGTGGCCTAGTTTCCTTAGTCGCGTTGACTTACTCCCCTAGCTGCTTCTCTTCTTCGTTGCTTATCCCTGCTTCTTTCTTTTCTTTTCTTTTTCTTCCCCTTAGTTTGAAAGGTACATATACTCTCCTATATGACAGGTAACACAGATAGTTTATCCAGCACGACATTCTTCTGGCTTCACTACAGACCAGAATGATCAGTGTCGGTATTCACCTCTCATCAGGGCAGATAGACGGCAACCAACCGACGAATGACGCCTCGGATTTCCTAGAACATTCCTCTAGCCTCAGCCACCCTACTTTCCAGCAAGGAAATCACTGCCGATGAGGTAAACTAGAACTCATTTCTCTATGACAGGTCCATCCAGTCAGG